GGGGAACATTTTACTATCTGACACATCCACGTCTGCGAAATCCAATGTATTTGTTGGGGAATGTTGGCTTGGGTTTCGGCTGGCTTCGGTTTGGCTCGTTATGAGTAGTATTTGGGTGGCCTTGGGGTGGGCATGTCTGCACACTACTGCGTCCAGCTGACAGATTCTACACCCTAAACCCTAAACCCGTTTTGAAGAGAACATCCGAGGTGCCGTCGGGCGAAGGGCGCGGCCTCCCCGCCGGGGGACCAGCTGCAGGAGGCGTCGAGGACGTGCCGTTCACGTGGATGCCATTGCCCACGCCTTTGGGCCCAGAGGCCTTGGGTTGGGGCGAATCCTCATCGTCGCTGTCCGGGACAGGGGGTGGAGCAGGCTTCGGCTTTGGCACACTTGCGCCGAAGGCGGGTGTGTACCGGGGTTCGGCCGTCTTGCCGCTACCCTTTGAGGGCTCCGGTGCTCGCATGGGCGGGCCTTGTGGAACGGAACCCGGAACCGTCGTCGGTGGAACCTGTTTCCCAAATCCCTTGCCCACACCATTGTATGCCGGCGCCGCCGCCGGCGGTGCTTTCGGGGTGATCTGAGGGGCATAGGGGACACTCGGCGTCTGTTGAGGCATCTGTGACTGCTGCGACCAGGGGTCGTTTCCACCAGCCCACGGATCAGTCTGAGGCGAAGCAGTGTAGTGCCCGGCTGACTGCGCCCCATGCTGCGCGGTGTGCGGCGCTCCATTTAGTCTGACCTGAACAGCTTGGGCACCCCTCCTTGCAAGATGCAAGTCAATCCCTAAACCCTAAACCTAAACCTGAATCCAGAAACCCTAAACCCTAATCTTAACCCCTAAACTTAGATCGAGAAACCCTGAACCTTAATCCTATTCCGCCCAAGCATCAGACCCCCATCCTTCATACGCTTTGCAGACGCTAGATAACCCAGCCCACAAACCCTAAAACCCTAAACCCCAAAAACCCTAGACCCTAAAATTATTGTCACTGTCATCATTGTCATCATTCCTAATATTGTTATTGCTATTCTTCGTACTACTAATATTAATGTCATTAGTATTCTTGTCATGCTTATTGTTATTCATATTTTCTACATAGTATCCTTATTCTTCTTATTCTTCTTATTGCCCTTATTCTTATTATTCTTGTTCTGATTATTCTTATTTTTCCTACTATTCTTATTACTCTTATTATTCCTTTTTGCTTTTCTAAAACCCAGGACCAGGGCCTGAGCGTGCTGTAGTCCTTGCGTCCAGGGATCGTCGCGATCCCAAGGATCCTAGGTTTAGGCTCTAGGGTTTAGGGTTTAGGGTTTAGGGATAGGGTTTAGGGCTGGGATAGTGTAAACAAAATGGAAATTTTCATTCCTTATAGAGCTTCAGTAACCGTAAGAATGGAAAAATGATACCCAACCATGACAAAAGATCCGCTGCCGGCTGCGAAGCAGCCGCCCTGCTTTGCTGTCCTGCTAAAGGCACCCTTGCTAGTGATTCAATGCGGATCCGAGTGTAGAGTTTCGGATTTACGGGTAAGGGATGCTTGGGATTCGGGTTTACAGGTTAAGGCCCACAGAGCTTACGGGCAAACCCATTCCAGGACTGTAAAATGACTTTGGGCTGTGGGGTTCGTCTAGGTTACCATAAACAAGGAATCCCAATCATTTATTACAAATCTCTATCATGGTACACTCTAGAAACCTGAGCCCCCAACGGCAAACCCGAGGCCCCGAGCCCCAACCCATTATTGAATCTAGATCCCTATACCCTAAACCCTAAACCCTGAACCCTGTAAGACCTGCATGTGGCGGCGTCGGCGTCTGCGACATGGACGCAGACCAGGGGTCGTTTTCATCCCAAGGATCGGGAGCCCGACTCGACCTGCACTCTCGTCTATAGTGATAACCATCATCATAGTCATAGAAATCTTAATAACCAGAACAATATGTAGTTTTGTTATTTGTAGGGTGTAGGAATTAGGGTTTAAGGCTCAGGAATTTAGGGTTTGGGGCTCAGGGCATAGGGTTTGGCGTTGGGGTTTCTTGGGCTTTACAAGAATAAGGATCGATAGTGGTTTTGTGGTTGCCTTATTATGGTCGCTTAAATCAAAGTCCTCAACAAGAACCCAGTGGCTGTGCTGCAGCTGGTTGCTGCGCTGGTGCTTGGAAGGCAGTGGCTGGCGCCGTGTTCTGCTGACCTGCACATTGAAACAGTAAGGTACATGTGGGGTTCAGGGCTTAGGCTTTCGGAACCTGGTCTGCCTCGACGACCTATTAGCACCTACGTTTTCTTCAGGGCCTCAATCTAGAGCCACGGGACTTTTCAACAAAGTGATTCTATAAACTTATGTCCTTCCCGGCACCTGCACGAGGAGGTGTCGGCCTCTGTGGCAATGATGCGGCCCAAGGGTCATCATTGTCCCAGGGATCTGGAGCTGGCTGCGGATCTTGAGCTGGCTGACGATCTTCGGACCTCCACGATCTCTCCGATCCATCTCCGTCGCTTCCGTCTACCATGGCACACCGAATTAGATGCGTTACGTAGGACAAGTTCAGACTGGAAAATCCTCGAGCGCGATGGTCCTACTGCTTGAACTCAGTGGGCATCCACCCGCTGTCGCGGTCTTAAGTTTGCTTCTTGGTGCCCTTTCTGCTGGGTCGTGGTCGGAATCGAGCAAGCACATCAAGCAAGCCTCAAGCAGCCCTTTTCAAGGAAGACCAGGACCCCTTGAAAGGAACTCTGGGAGCTCTGCGAGGGACCCTAGGAATCCTTAAAGGCTATTCCTGATAGGCAGTGAAGGTTGCCCTAGGAGGCTCCTGTTCGGCTTACAAAGTAACGACTTCCATACAGAACACTCTGGATTTTTAGGTTGTACGGGTTGGGGTTTAGGGTTTAGGGCTTGGGGGTTTAGGGGGTTTGGGTTTAAGGTCTTTTTTTTTATCACCTCTTTTCCGTTCCGCTTCAGGTCGGGAATACCATGTTGGTTGAGGCATGTACCCGGGAGCGCGACCAAAACATAGGGATTCGACCAAGGGTTTAGGGGTTGGGGTTTAAGGGGTATGTTAGAGAGCTCCGTCAGGAACCTTAGGGCATGGTACAGGAAGTTATTCGCAGAGGTTGAAGGCTGGGTAGTGTATCCGTTAAGGTCTAGAAGGGGGGAGAACCAAATGCTCCGACCCCCAACAGCCTCAAGCTTTTCAGTTTGAGACACAGGGACGTGGTTAGTTCATAGGGGCTGCTAATGATCGATGGTTGGTTACGGCTCCATAGTGGTCTAACCATAGTAAGACAAGGGCATCTCAATAAAATGCTGATGATGCCATCATGATGATCGGTATCAATGGTGCGGCTCATCATCAATGATCAATCTAGTCATCTAACTTGGAAGCAGAAAAGCGACCATTTGGATTGATGATCCATTGGGTATCATAGCCCGGCTCCCGGTTAGGCACTGCCAGAGGGTCAATGTTACCCCCGTTAACCAGCTATGAATTTCTGGCATATCTAGAAGGATTGGCGGGTATAGCCTTAGCTTGCGGTATATCATAAATGATGGCACGACCACGGTATGTTAGTAGAAAAATGATGATATTGTGCTGATTGATGAGGATCATCATCGATGCTTAGTCACCAAGGATGGTGTATACCCCATCTTTAGACTTCATACTAGCAGTATCCAAAAAGATAATAAAAGTGGACTACAATGCTTCATGACCTATCCAAATCTGTCCGATGGAATTTTGCATTGTCCACATAGCCGTAGAGTTCAATAACCTTGTTTGAACTGCCAAGCTGTCGCCACCGGAGCCTGGAGCTCCCCATGTAGTGGCCTGAAGCTGCTACATGCCCTTCAGTTGACTTTGAGCTGCGGAGCTGTCACCACCCCAGTCTGGGTCTCCCCAAGAAACCACGGATCCATCTGCCAAAATGGCAGCAAATGCATCAGCAGTGGCCTCAATCTGCTGCACGCCCTTCAGCTGACTTTGAACTGCCGAGCTGTCGCCACCAGAGGCAGGATTTCCCCAAGAAACCACAGATCCATCTGCCAAAATGGCAGCAAATGCACCGGCAGTGGCCTGAAGCTGCTGCACGACCTTCAGCTGACTTTGAACTTCGGAGCTGTCACCACCACTTTCAGGAGATCCCCAAGAAACCACGGATCCATCTGCCAAAATGGCAGCAAATGCAGAACCGTTGCTCTGAAGCTGCTGCACGCCCTTCAGCTGACTTTGAACTGCCGAGCTGTCACCACCAAGGTCTGGATCTCCCCAAGAAACCACAGATCCATCGGCTAAAATGGCAGCAAATGCACGGTCGGTGGTCTGAAGCTGCTGCACGCCGTTCAACTGACTTTGAACTGCAGAGCTGTCACCACCACAGATTGTTTTTCCCCAAGAAACCACAGACCCATCTGCCAAAGTGGCCGCAAATGCACAGAGAGTGGCCTGAAGCTGCTGCACGCCCTTCAACTGACTTTGAACTTCGGAGCTGTCACCACCACTTTCCGGAGATCCCCAAGAAACCACGGACCCATCTGCCAAAATGGCAGCAAATGCAGAAAAGTTGCCCTGAAGCTGCTGCACGCCCTTCAGCTGACTTTGAACTGCCGAGCTGTCACCACCAAGGTCTGGATCTCCCCAAGAAACCACAGATCCATCGGCTAAAATGGCAGCAAATGCACGGTAAGTGGTCTGAAGCTGCTGCACGCCGTTCAACTGACTTTGAACTGCAGAGCTGTCACCACCATCGCCTGGAGTTCCCCAAGAAACCACAGACCCATCTGCCAAAATGGCAGCAAATGCACAGTCGGTGGCCTGAAGCTGCTGCACGCCCTTCAGCTGACTTTGAACTGCCGAGCTGTCGCCACCAGAGGCAGGATTTCCCCAAGAAACCACAGATCCATCTGCCAAAATGGCGGCAAATGCAGAGCTGGTGGCCTGAAGCTGCTGCACGCCCTTCAACTGACTTTGAACTGCCGAGCTGTCACCACCAGTGTGTGGATCTCCCCATGTAATAACCTCGTCACCTCCGCGAAACCACAACGCAAAAGCTCCGCCAAGAGCGTCAAAACTTATTCTTGTTCCAGTCAGCTGCGGTTGCAGCACCAGAGCTGTGACCTGATCTCCTGTTTGCAGCCCTGCATTCTGCACAGACTCCTGTGGGTCATCCAACCTACGCCCCTCCGCAGTGACAAGCCTGAGGAATCCCAGCTGAAAAGTTTGCTGGGCCAAATTCTTCAAGTCACCGACTGTGGAGCCTTGATCAAGTGAAAAGCTCTCAGCCCGTGCGCTTGGCAAGGTGACGGTCAACAGAAGCATTTAAGAGTTTAAGGTTACGAAAACAATAAAAAGATTCAACTAGATGCCCTTGAGCCCGAAAAGGATCAAGCAGGAGATCACCTATCTTCGTTCATGTAGGGTTCGTTTCATGTAGGGTCCAAATCCAATGTCGAACCAGTCACTACCAGCATTCGCAAGAATATCACATGATCCCAGTATGTCCTCTGACTATAATCATCCCCGAAGAATTTCACCGGGGACCCAAATGGGTATGGTTCCAAATGATTGATCGGCCAGATGGTTCCCTCCGAAAAATGATCAAATGATGTCAAAGGCGTGGCTCACTTGACACCCAAACGCATGTTCACATACTCTTCCATGTTCACCGAATAGAAGAAGGGGCCCTCGCCACCGGGCAACACCAACAGCTTTGACATTATGCACTTCCCCCAGGGAAGCTCATGTTCCCACAAAAAAGAAGTTTCAGACATCGGAGTTTTTCCAAGGTAACCTCTCAGGGAAAAGGCAAAAGTGGATCTAGCAATTGTCACCAGCAGTTGGGAAGATCCGAAGTTGCGCCAGCTACCCTCATTTCGCGTCAACATCCCTCCGCCCCCATCAACAGCGTAGCATATCACACGAATGTTAACATCCCCCCTACCGGATCAAGGCAATGGTGCAGCAAGGGTCATATTTGTGGGATGGAATCGCGTCGGCTAGCGCAAACACGCACAGCATGTCACAATTGCCATGCGAACCGCATCACGACTCATCCGTGTTCCACATACCGTTGGAACGTATAAAACCCAAACTAAATGATAATTCAGTGCATCCAAAATATGCTTGTGAATTACAATTGCAATCATTGGGATCTTCATATCATTATTCATGTATGTATGTATGTATGTATGTATGTATGTATGTATGTATGTTGTTGTTGTTGAGGCACCCAGGA